AGAAAAAGCAGAGAGAGCAGAACGTTAGAGATTGAACTAACAGATTCTGCAGAGTGGGAGAATAGAGATAGAATGAAGCAGAATGATGAAAAAAGTGGTCCCTATGTCCACCAGCAGTCTAAGACTATAGAGTTATATAGAGATCAAACACATTTGAGTATAACCCCCCCGGCTGCTGCCTCACCTGTTTGATGGTGGCCTTAAAAGCTCCTAAAATGGCGGCGGCTCCACCACAGTCTCTCTTCATCCCAGGCATCGTAGTCTGACGACAATGAAAGAAAAAAAGATTTCAAACACTAACATCAGTTCATCTAGCTTCACTCGTCTTATTGTTACGCTCTACTGATGGTTCTGGGTTTACTGCTCACCTTCCCCTTGATGCTGAGTCCGCCGGTGTCGTACACAATGCCTTTTCCCACCCAGGCGATGTTCTGCGTCGCCCCGTCAGGAGTGTGGCTCAACACTGCTAATGCAGGAGGATGTTCTGCTGCCTTTCCGACACCGTAGATACCTGAGAGGTGGAAAAAGAGACAGCAGATGATTAACTGACAGATTAGAGGAACAGAGTGGAAGAAGAGCTCCAAATAAAGAACCATAAATGGACAATTGAGGGGAAGGACTGATTTAGACAACAAGGCAGGGATGTATTGAATCAAAAGCACATCTAAAAATTGCAGGATATCTGCCCTTAGGAACTGAAATAATTCACCCCTGCAATAAAGAGAGTTCTTCCTGTTAAGCAAACTCAACTTGAACTAGAAAATATTTTCATGTCTTATTATTCCAGCTTTTGAATCTGTATGAATCCTGCAGTCCTCCATATTGGCCCCCTCCTGATAGCAATGTGGCTCTGTTTGTTTTTAATCATCTCGTGCAAAAACAATATTAAAAGCGACAACAAACGAACTCATCTGATATTCCAAACATGCTGCACTGGAAATATAACAATATAAACAATGGCTGCCTCTCCATCAGCGTTCAGCAGCAGCTGGTGGGTGAAATTTTAATCTTTAATGGGTTTTAAAAATGTGCCCAAACCAAACAAAACCCTCCTCCCTTCCTCAATAGAACACCAACCGATTGAAGCCATGATTATCTGCCCATTTAAAACCAAAACTGTTGCGTGAAT